CTTTTTTCGAAGTTTCTCAAGAACCATTCGAGCCACAGAATTCGTTTTGGCATCGTTGGATAGAGAATTGAAAAATCGATTCAGTCGTAACAACGAGAGTGAGTAAGTTCGAGTACTTTTGACCCAGAAAGATAAGAAAGCTTTGACTAAGAAAATGTTGGCAGTTTTGGATAAGTTAGGAAAAATTTACCATCTTCGTCAGGATTCGAATCCTGAAACTCCAAAAATTAATCCACCTAAGTGACGAAAAATTATACCTATATATAACTTATAACTAACTGGGTATTAGCCATCAATTCGGCAATTTATAAAACTGATCTAAAAATAGGTTTTTATTTTAAAAAACATCGGCCTCTTTCAGTGCATTTTTATACTGAACACATGGACTACAAATGGGACATTCATTTCTTTTTCTTCCCTTTTCCCTTTCCACCCTTGTCGGCTTTACCTTTGGACTTCTTCGATCCGGTATCTTCCGCACCAGCGTCCTGTGGATCCCACTGTGTTTCTATCTGGGAATGTAAATCGCGCATTTATAAATAAAAACATTTAATATCTAAAGCAAACTATAAATTTGTTACCAATGGCTATTTCGATATAAACAACAATTCTAATGAAAAGGAAGTCAACAGTAGATAAATCTGGGTGGAACAGTGTTAGATAAATTTGGGTAAACCAACATTTGACCGTGGCATGTTTGCCCTTTGACCCAGATGCACATTTAGAATGCTGATAACCCATCCGACCCTGTTTGTTCAGATTAATATCCTTTGTCATTCTACTATAAGCACCTTCTAAACAAAGAGGAAATGCGGAACAAAGAGGGCCTTCTTAACAACAAAAAGCAATTGAAAACATTTACCGTTTCCTTCTTGGGAATGGGCTTCAATGGGGGAGCTTTGGGGGTTTGCAGCTCCAACTCCAGATTGTTCTTCTTGTCAATGCCCTCACTTTTCTTCCCAATTCTACGCAAAGAAAAAAAAATCCAAACAAAGACCTTTTCAACCGAGTCAAAGACCTTAAAATGAAGGTTTCTTTGTTGGGGTCCGAAAATTCGGTAAATTGGGTGCCGTCAGGCGCAGTGTGAACGGGGGGATTGACAACGATGTTGTTCCCATTGGAGCCCCCCACGGGGGGAGAGTCCCCACACTGGCCCATCTTGAAAGAGAAGGGGCTGTTGGGCGAAGCTCCCGGCCGCATTGCAAAGACCTGGAAAGTGAATGATAAGATGCAGTGAAGATCTAATGAAACAGTACGGCCGCTAGTTAATGTCCATTAAATTAAATCGGTTCTTATTGCGAAGGTTCCCAAATAAATAATCGGCAATTATGGCCTATTATTAGTCGGGTACTAGTCCAACATATTGTGGATTGACGCCGACTGTTTACAGATAGATTCTGCACAATGTTGGTTTGATTTTCCATCTTAGCAGGAGAAAAAGCTCGTTTTCTCGATGTTCTTGACGTGCTTCGCTTCGATTTACCTGTTGGGTTTTGTTCGGATACCCCACAGGAACCACCGCCCCGGGATTCACGTCGTTGCCCCCACATATACAATCATCCCCATTAGGATCCACTGGCTCCAGTTTCCCCTTGTCTTTATGCACCCGAATTGTCAGGGAGTTACCCCCCATACTAGCCCCAATTTCCTGATAGTTCCCTTCGGGCGTTGGCGCCGCCACTGGTAGGGGAACTTCGGTGTAACCCCCCATCATCATCGGAGGCATTGGAGGCATACAAGCGGGATTGGGAACAAAACCGCATTCATTGCATGGAGTCATCATTGTTTGGGTTCCGAACCTGGAATGGGGATAGCAACAATTGCTTCAATATGACTCGAAATATATTTACAGTACAAAAACGTATACTAAGGACTATCTACGGAATGTCTCCT